AAAAATTAATTATTTAAACGCTCAATTTTCCGCCTTTTCACCGTTTTCATACTTCAAAAGTGCTCTTTTTGTCCAAAAAATGACACTTCTTGCGTTTTTTTCATGAATGTGAATGGATGATAGTTGCGATTCCCGATCGTGCGTTTAAATGTGTTTTTGAAAATTTTGTCTGCTCGGGTACAGAACCTTAAACGTGTTTACTCATAAATGGTTTTCTACTAAACCTACTTTTTACGAAACCAAAAAAGGTTCTTAGATTGTATCCAGATGAAGAACCTTTTTAGGTTTGGTAAAGAGCCTTTTTAAGTTCCGCGAAATACCATTTTTTTTAGAGTGTATGATACAATTTGTTTTCAATGTTCGATCAAAATTCAAGACGATAATTTCTATAAAGCTTACCTCTGAATAAATTTTAACGATATCTAATTTTGTAACCCTTCTTTCGACCTTTCAGAACTAATTGATATTCCATTTTATTTTTATTGCGTTCTTGAGATAATAGGATAATGGCGTGTTTTAGAATACTGATTACTTTCGTCATTTCTCAGTAACAATTCAAACGTTCAGTTTACCACAGATAGCCAGGACTACAGATAATTGTTTGACATGATTTTCAGTGCGAAGTACTATGTATGAATCATTCAGTCATAGACAATAATGCATGCTGGTATGTTAAATAAAAATCTGACAAGACTTATCCGAAATGGTTTTCTTTTGGTGTCAAACGATTCCTCGTAAAATTCTACAACTAGCCCTAGTGAAAATACTCATCAAGCGAGTAGGACCTGTCAGCATGAATACACAAAAGACTCGTTGGAGTACTCGTAAAATTCATCTTTGTATCTTTAATGTTCGTGTACTCAAGTGAGTACTCGCATAAGTTAACTTTCTGAAATTCACTCGAATACGATAGTCTGAGTACTCAAAGTAGTACTCGATTCTGTGTTTCGATAAAACACCAACGCATTAACATCCTAAGTGAGCAAAAAAATAGGGAGGACGGGCGACGTGACTAGTCCAAAAAGTCTGCTATACCCGTCAAGTTATAGTCTAATACGTCTTCCATATCTATTGTGACTAGTCCGTATGTCCTTTTACTCGTCTGAACTGGTCCAAGATATTCCAGAGCATTATGTTCTGACTAGTCCGTATGTCCATTTACCCACACCTGGACTAGTCCATAGCAGGGGGAAATATTATAAGACAGAGAGAAGAAAGCTGGATTCGAAAATTAGAGACACAATTAATACTATTAAAAATCAGACTGATGTCGTGATGGCAGTCCATAATACAGAAAGACTTATGTCTATGTATATATTCTAAAACGCAAGTGGGTGTTTTCCATATACCATGCATGCAGAAATCGCTTGATGAAAGCTGATTCTCACTACCCGAAAATGCCTTTAATGGTAGTTATAAGAACTGTTCCTAGGCTAGTAAAAACTGTTGTATGTTCGTAAAGATTATTCCATTTTTTAAGGACACCGTCAGTCCGAATTCTGAATTGTCTAAATATTAGAAGAAAGACATTTTTTTGAATAAAATGCGCTGCTCAATTGCTAAATTAATTACAAAACAAGACAAAATATAAGATAAAATATCCGGAATTTTCAATTTATTTTATTCAGTTTCATCTGAATAATTTTTGAATTTATATAAAAGATATTTTTTATTCATATGAAAAATTGAATAAAATCTAAGAAAAAAAAAGTTTGTTAGCGCAGCTCCTATGGAGTTGAAATGTGGAACTCACGTATACCCTTAGCTTTGTTATCTGACTCATCATCTGTATACTACAAGACTTCTCGTCAACTACACTGGAAAAAAAATAAGTACTCTACGAAACTTAAAAAGGTTCCGAGATTTGCAACGAATTCGAAACCCTTTTGCGATGTCGTACGGAACCTTCAAAGTTCCGTATAGTCTCACGAAACCTGTGTCGGAGT